CCAGGCTACTTCTCACTACACCATGAGGCCTCTGAGTGAAATTTGTAAGAATTACAGAACTCTTCTATCTCAGCTCATAATTTCTTAAAGTAACCTAAGAGTATTATCAGGTAAGGCACTTTCCATATATGTGAAAGGAGACCTCTGACTCATCTTCAAAATAGCCAATAATAATCTATAGAATCTGTTAATCCATGAAGTGAATCTGTACAGGGAACTCTAGAAAGTATGTTCCAATGAAGTAAGCTATACTACCAAGGAAAGTGTAGGATAGGCAGGGATTGATCTAGAATAGATTTCCTTTGTAACCCAGCATTCTTAGAATCACAGAATCTTAGATTTAGAAGAGCCTTTAGAAGTCACCTTATCTCCTAATCCTCTCTGCCAGATCCTTGACATTCTTCCGCTAAAATTCTTCTAGTGATAAGGAACTTACAAGGTAGTCCACTCCATTATTTGGCAACTTTCATTGTTAGCAGGTGTTTCTTCATATGAAACCAAGTTGCCCCCTTGTAACTTTTAACTCTCATTCTGCCATCTGAAGTCACACAAAATATATTAGAACTAAGCGCTGTATTTCAGATGTGGTCTGATCAGGTCAGTGAACAGTATACAGTAGAATTATGACTACCCTTTTCCTAAAGTCTAGGTCAGACCTACATGGTCCTTTCATTAATGCAGCATACAATTGTATGAGCTTTTTGGCACCCACAATACACTGTTGATTCACATCAAGTTTACAGTCAGCTAATAACTCTAAGCCTTTTTTAATAACAGTGATTGTTAAGGTCTTCCCAGCCTTTACTTGTTGATTGGTGATTCAATTCCTTTATTTATTTATTTCTAGATTAAACTTCATCTGGCCTATTTCAATATTTTAGGATTCTGGTCCTGTTATCCTATATATTAGCTCTCCTGCCCACTTTGTGCTAATTGTACATCTGACACAGAGACTTTCTATGTCCTTTTTCTAATCACTTATGATAGTTAATTTTGCAAGGTTGAAATATGTCCATAATTTTAAATTGTCTATTACAGGATACTCCATTGGAATGGACTTTTGAGAGTTCTCTGTACAGATCCACCTTATGGATTATCAGATTTTATAGATTATTATTGGCTATTTTGAAGATGTCAGAAGTTCCCATGTACATACATAGAATATGATGTTTTATTCACACTGACCCTGATCACACTCCTAGGCTGCCAAATCAGTTCAGTTATTCATTCAACAGACCTTTACTCAGTATCCAATATGGACAGGGCACTGAGCTTAGACACTTAGAGAAAGATGTGAATCACAGTCCCAGCCCTCATGTATTTTATAGTTTATTAGGCAGTATTGCCACATCCTTACTATGCCTCAGAGCCTAGGGCAAGCAGATACTTTCTCAACTCTTGATGGGTTGATTCTCAGGCATCTGTTACAGTACACTTACCTGGCTGTCCAACATCTCTGATCACTCCTTTGGTGACTTTTCCCCTTTTTTTCCTTTGCCCTCCCCTTAATCATGGGTATTTCTCAAGTTTCTGTCCTTGGCCCTCTGCTTTTTTCTCTTTTCTCTCTGTGATCATTCTTTCCATTACATCATCTTCTTTCAGGGCTTTATCTGTCAACTCCACTTGGATAAGTCCCAAATCTCCATCTTCAACCCTGACTTCTCTCTCCTTTATACTTGCATCTGATGGCACATCTCATCTTGAATGTCCTTCTATCACTTGAAACACAATATGCCCCAGATTGAACTCATTGCCTTATACTGCACTCCCTCCTTGCACCCATCCCCCGCCTTTGATTACCCTCCTCAACTGCTCAGCGGTGCCATCATCCCAGTCTCATAGGCTTAGAGTCATTTTGACATCTCTTTCTCCTCCATCCCTTATATCCAATCTGTCACTAAATTCTATTGCTTCATCCTTCAAAATGCCTCTAAGATTTAACCCTTTTTTATTCCCACTAAGACTGTCTCATTCCAGATCCTTTTTATGTCTTGAGTCCTCAGCACTTAGCTCCTTAAATGATTTCTCTGCCTTTGACTAAAAGCAGCATTCTCAGGTCTGTCCTATACAACTCCACCAGACTGATCTTCAGAAAAATACTGATTTATCATGTTGAACCCCTGCTCGATGATTGTAATGATTAAAATAACAATATTGCCACCTAACATTTGTGTAACACTTGCATTTTTCAAAGACCCTTCATATATTGCAATCTATGAGCTAGACAGGGAAGATATTATCATCCCAGTATTGTAGATGAGGAAAGTGATATTGAGAAGTTAGACATGTACCAGGTCATTTTGTCTCACTCCATCTCTTAGTTTCCCCTTCTGTTGAACTAGATGAATGCCAAGGGCCTTCTAGCTCTAAATCTTTAATCTTTTGACACCTAGATCTATGCACTTTGTTCACTATACCACACTCCTCTACATGTTTTAAGGCTTTCTATGTTAAGGTGTCCTATAATAGGACACCTAAATGGTGTAGTGGATAGAGTGCCAAACCTAGAGTCAGGGAGACTTTGAACTCTTCCTGATTTCAAATCTGGCCTCAGACACTTACTAGCTGGGTGACCCTGGGCAGGTCACTTAACCCTGTTTGCCAATGTGGTTTATCTTGTTTAAGTTGTAGTTCAGGAACACTCATGGAAAAATCTCTTCTTGGCAGCCTGAAGAGCAAGCTTTCCTCTCTGACCAGTCCTCCTAGTTTCCAGTCTCTGTTCAATCCCTCAGTCCTCTTCCCTAATGCACAACCTAGGGGCATTTCTGGCACAGTAGGAAAAGGGGGTAGTTGGGGATAAAGGGTGGTCTCCATAAGACTCCAAATGAAGGACTGACTGCTCCCTTACACCCCCACTGATACCCAGAGGAGAAGTGAAAGAGACAAAGAAGAAAGAAAGGGACATTAAACCACTTAAGCAGCTGGTCACTGAAAACACGTTGATATGATTCTCAGAGGCCCAGGCTCAAATCCTTTCAGTCACCCTGCACAAGTAAAGCTTGAACCAAAGGGGTGTTTGAGTATCAATTAGCCATAAATTCCTCAGATGTCCTCTCTACCTCTATCCTCTGGATAGAGTGCTTAGTGCCTAGAGTCAAGAGGATCCTAGTTCAAATTTGGTCTTAGATACTTACTAGCTATGTGACCTTAAGCAAGTCACTTAACCTCTGTCTAACTCGGTTTCCTCAACTGTAAAATGGGAATATAATAATAGCACTTACCTTACAGGGTTGTTGTGAGAATCAAGTGAGATGATATTTGTAAAGCAATTAGCACAGTGCCTGACACATAGTAGGTACTTAATAAATGTTTATTTCCCCCTTCCACCATCATCAACCCAACCATCATTCCCCTCACTGGTATCAATTAGTAGTATTCCTCAAACCTTCCTCTGTACATGAGGTACAGGCTTTCTATTCTCTTTCCCCAGTTCCTGGTCTTTCTTGGACCAAACAAGAATCCTATGAAAACCCACTGGGTATTACTGGTTGGGGTGCTCCCTTCCACCTGGGCTCCAAGACCCCAGGACCTGTTTCCATTATCCCCAACTGCTGTTTGATTTTATTTCCCCTCCATAAAGCTGGCTTGCTTTACTTTTCTCTCTGCAGACTCTGTGCTCTGTTGAGTAGTGCTCTGCTTCCTTTTATTATACGATAGAATCTCAAACCTCAAACCGCATTAAGACGTGAACCATCTTTGCTTGACATTGAGAAAGGATATATTGGTATGGTAGCATATTCTAGCACCAACATAACATAGTGAGAAAAGCCCTAAATTGGAAACCAGTAGACTACTACTTCAAAACAGCAACTCTTCATTATAAGCCAGGGCAAGTCCCTATAATTCTCTAGTTCTCAGTTTCTTCACTTGTAAAATGAGGAGGGTGGGATCTGGTGACCTCTAAGATCCTTTGTACCTCTTCCATTCTTGCATGGAAAGGGTGTCTTGTAATAATTAACAGGATAGGGCCTCATTCTTTTCTTAACTTAATGTTTTGTGTTGATATCTGAATCATAAAGACTTACCTCATTGTTCATATTTAGTGAAAATAATAACTACGCCTGGGCCAAAAAGAAATTGTTACTTTTAGACTTGGCCAAAAGATTGCAAATTAGAGCATGTCAGTATCAGATACCCTCTTACAAAATCGATTAGCTCTTGGTGAAAAATGGGAATGGAACCAATTGAATATCATCAACTCAAGGTCTGTTGCCAAGATAATTTAGTATAACCTCAGATAAAAATATCACTTGTCTTCAGTGTCATCTTCAGACCTCTCAATTTTAGCTCCAGCAAGAAAAAGGACTAAGATTAAAATAAGCCTCTGCCTTCTGTGGTCAGACAGCAAATGGTTTGGAGGCATTTGTATGCTCTGTGAATGTAAAAATTTCCAACAGAGCATAATAATGGGTCATGTGTGGTTCACGAGTTCATTCATTCTACTGAAATTGCTCATGAAAATCTGTATGTTCTTTTTGCCCTCTGAAATTGGATGCTGCTGGAGTATTCCATTTTAAATCTTGCGTAAATGAAAGAAAAATGATGAATGGTGAAGTGTAGCCTACTAGGCACTACTAAGGGCTTCTGGATTACTTGTTCCCAACAGCACACTTGCTGTGTAAGATGGATGATAGAATTGCCACTAGCTTTATCCAAACTGGCTTGTTTGAACAATCACAGCAATGGCCAACAGCATCAACCTTCTTGACTGGATTCTCTGACCAAAATTTGTTAAGAGTTTTGAAGTTTTAAAGGTGAAGTTGGAACCACAGTGAGCTGTACTTCTGATTTTCTTTTTCTTTTAAAGTAGACTTGAAATTTTAATTGTTATCAAACTGTCCCTTGATTGCTAAGAGACCCCACCCAAACTGGGTGCTTTATGAAATATAGACCAATGCTATCTTTTGTTGTGTTACTTAATGTTAATTTTACCCAAAGCTTTTATTTAGGGAAACAGTGGTGAGCTGTATGACAATCTTTTTTTTCTCATCCTTTTGCAGGCTTGTTGATTGGGTCTGGTTGTGCTCTGTATCCTCTGGGCTGGGACAGTGAAGAAGTCCGGCAGACCTGTGGTTACATTTCTGACCAGTTTGACCTGGGTAAGAGTTCTCACTTCATTTAACTAATTTTGTTTTTAAGGTATTAATGATGCCTCTTGTTTTTACATCAATCGTTTCCCAGTATGTACTGCTCCTATTATTGAATACTTATTGTAACAAAGAAAAACAGTTAATTAAAACCAACTAACACAGTGAATATACAACAGCAAATCCAACATTCCATAACCCCCATCTCTCTATAAGAGGAAGAACATGCATTTCTTTTTTAAAAATAATTTATTTTACAGATACTTATTGTCTTTTTTTCCCATTCTCCTCTCAAACAATTTTTAAAATTGGAAAAGAAAATACTCATAACAAATGTATATAATCCAGCAAACAAATTCCCACATTGGCGGTGTCCAAAAATATATCACATTCTTCATTTTAAACTTCTTTCTGGAAGGGGGAAGGTGGCATGATTCATTTTTAGTCTTCTGGACTCATGGTCTACCATTGACTTGATTAGACTTCTAAAATCTTCAGAAGTTGTTTTTCTTTATAATACTGTTGTCATCATATAAATCATTCTAGTTCTACTGATTTCATTCTGCATCAGATCATAGAAGTCTTTCCCGTTTTCTCTGAAACTATCTATTTCATCATTTTTTCCAGCATGATAATATTCTATTATATTGACATACTGTGTTTAGCCATTCCCCAATAGGTGGATAACCATTCAAGTTTTTAGTTTTCTACTATTACAAAAAAAAAAACAAAAATAAAATAAGATGCCATATTTTTGTACATATTGGTCCTTTTCTTCCCTCTTTGTTCTCTTTGGGATATAGGCTTAGTAGCGGTGCAGTTGGGTTAAGGGATAGTAACTTTTAGAGCATGGTTGCAATTTTTTTCTAGGATATGAATTTCATTGACATCTCATTCTTTGATAATTACAATTAATCACAATTTGTCTGTCTTTTAGAGCTGCTTTCATTTATATTATGTGCTCATTTTATATATTGTCCCTCAGTATCAATTCATTAATGTCTTTTTATGTTTCTTTTCCAATTTCTTTATATTTTCAGTTTGTTCAGCCATTCCCTATTCAATGTACACCATCATTGCTTCCAACTTTTTGCTACCATAAAAGTGCTGCTATGGTGGTTTCAAGGTATATGAGACATTTCTTTTTATGTTTGACCTCCTTGGGGGTACATATATCCAATTTGGGGGGTTACTTAGTCAGAAGGTATAAATAATTTTGTAATTTTTCTTACATAATTCCAAATAGTTTCCCAGAACAGAAGAACCAATCTACAAGTCTACCAACAATGTATTTCCTATCTTCAATAGTTCCTCTGAAAGTAACACTGCTTTTTTGTCATCTTCGCCAACTCAGTGGGTGTGAAGTGAAAACTTGGAGTTGTTTTAGTTTGTGTTTCTTTAGATAGCCCTTGTTGCTTTTGAGAAGTGAATGAAAGAAAAGGAGCCAGTGAAAATGATACATACCACCCGGAGTATCACCAAATCAACAAATTCACTCTTCAGCAAGCACTTCTTATGCATTCAGTGCAGGTATCATTGTTCCATCTACCTCTCAAGCATCTAATGGTCTGATTTGAGAGATGGGATAAAGATATAAGGAACAATGACAGAATAAGATCATATGGTATAAATTCCACATAAGTCCTTGAAAAGACAATGCATCTTCATTGTGGGGTGGTATTAGTCAGGGAAGGCTTCTTAGGGAGAAGAATCTTAAACTTGCTCTTGAAGAAAGTGCCAGAAATAATTTGGCTAAAGGACATTCTAGGTATAGGAAATGGCATGAACAAAGGCAAAAAGGCTAGCATTAACAGTACTTATGCAGGGAGACAGTCTAGAAACCATCTTCACTGGAGTAGAAAAGACTAAAAAGGCCTCCTGAGATATGGAGCTGGATAATTAAAGTAGTGCCACTAAAAACCTTGATTATCTTAGGGATTGTTCTTTGTAAAGTGAAATGAGATCTTAAAATGTATTTCATTAATGACACTGAGGTATGTGGTGAGCATTATTATCCCCCTGTTGTGTGGCCAGGCTGACTGAGGGTTGTATCTTGAGCTATTAGTCCATGCATGAGTTTTTAATGTTTTTGTCTATATCTAAAGGCAAATACATCCTTAAGAAAAATATTTCTATTATCTTATGTTTCCTCTGTAAATTTTTTCCTGTAAAGTATACGTATCTATACCTATAGATATATAGCTCATAGATACAGATATATATCCTCTAAAGAATATATGCATACATATTATATATGTGTGTGTATCTTTAATGAACTGGCACTGAGGAAAGGACAATATATAAAATGATCATGTTAATATAAGTGAAAGCAACACTAAAAACCAACCAAACTGTGATTAATTATAGTTACCAAAGTAAGAGAATAGTCAATGAAATTCACATCCTTCCACCGGAGCTATGGATTGGACCAGCCATTATGAAAAGACACTTGGGACTATCACAGAAATGTGTATATTATATGTGTATACATTCACACACATGTACATATATATCTTTGTGCATCTATGTGTAGATATGTAAATATATCCATACACACATACCTATACATATATGTATATACACACCTACATATATACATGTATTAATACATACATGTGTATATGTGTGTGGATAGATAGTTATAACTTTTATACTGGTTCTGTGATTTCCACTCTACAAGGAACTCCCACTGAAGATATTCCCTTCACCTATGCAAATCTACACCTGCTACACAACTTAAAATAGTCTTGGAAAGTTGCCTGGAGCACTTAGAGGTTAGGTGACTTGGCCGGGGTCACACAACCTGTTGTCCAAGGTGGGGCTTGAAATCAGGTCATCCTGATTCCAAGGCTAATTATTCACTATGTCGCACTACCTCTTTGCAACATTATCCCTGTTAGAACAAATTTAAGGAAACTGAAACAGAGAAATAAAGTGACTTGTTTAGAATCATTCATGCTCAGGCTTTGTGAGTTTCAGGTTAGAACCCAATCTTCTTTGTTCAGAGCTTCTCCTTAGCTTCCTGGAAAATGGTTCTGTTCCAGCCATGGAGACAGGGATCCGCCAAACTAAAAGGTGCATGTGTCGGAAGTACAAATTCCCTGCAATCCTTTCTTGCCTCTGACCTCAAGGCTTTTGTGAATCTGGGTCGCCCTGTGCATGGGGACACAGGCCTGCTTCAAAACCAGCTGACTCCTTTCCTTTCAAGTCAGTGAGCTACGTGCAGGCGTTGTATTTTTGGGTGGTATCAAATCCTTCCTTTTCTGCAGTTTTCTTGGCTTTCTTCTACATGTCTTAACATGCCCAAAATTCTTTTCTTGATGGTCTGTTGTTATCGAGTGTAGCCATATTAATTAGCAGATTATAATGAAACCCAAATCTTGCTGTTGCAATTTTCACTTTGACTTTTTTTAGTGTGTTGACACTGAATTTTAATTTATGATTTGATATTTTAGGATGTAGAATTAAAACTCTGAAAAATCCGTTCTCCTTGCCTGAGTGAAAAAAAAATCACAGAATTATAGAATCTTAACCATTGGCAGGGACCCCGGTGGTCATCTGGTCCAACTCTTAGCAGAGCAAAATGTCATTCTGTAACACCCTCAATATTCAGTCTCCATTGAAAGACCTCCAGGGTGAGGAATTCACTGTCCTCTAAGGCAGCACAGTCCATTTTGCACAATTCCCACCTTGTCGTTTTTTACCATCTCGTTTTTTGTTGTTGTTGTTGTTGTTGATGTTGCTGTTAATGTTCATTGTTTGATATTTCTCATAGTTTGGATAATAAAAACAACTACCTAGCTTCATGTTTTATGGTGTTAATGAACTCCCGGTTTCCTAAATAGTTCTATTTGAACTCCTAGATCCCCATTTCTATAGACTTTTCACAATGTCTTCTTCTGGCTGTATATATCCCCTGGGTATATCCCATCTCCTAATTAGTGTACATTTGAGGCCAAAAAGGGAAATGCTAAAGGGATTTAGGACACAGCAATATCCTCATGCTAATCCCATTTAGCTACATATTTCCTTTGGATTTCCTCTTTTGTTTTTTGTCTCTAAATCCTGGTTAATATTCTTGATCGTCCTGTTCGTAGCAGAATGAGAATCCAACCGAAAGTCAGAATGCCTAGATTCTATTCCCAGCTGTAAATTGACAGATTCATTCCAAGAAAATCAAAAGCAGTAGTGCTAGGCTAGAAAATCATCTAGCCTTAGGAAGTGTCAAATTAAACATATCAGCTAAGGTTGGCACACATTGCCATTTTTTCAGTTGTCTATTGGTGAGGCTCTGCTACTGGCTGACCCCTCTACCTCTGTTTATGGTCGTTCCCCATTCCTTAGAAGAGTCACTCACTACTCCTTCCCTTTTCAAGTCACTGCATGGTCACCATCTTTCTCTCCTGATAATAGACAGATGTGAAAAGCTCTTCTTTCACCACGGTCCAATTCTTCTTCCACCCCATAGCAGGGTTGTTAACTTGACACACCACTTTTGAAAGGTTGCCAACCTTTGAACAAAAAATTGTCATACAAAGAAAGTCTTAGCTCTTTCATTTGGACAAGGGAGGGATAAACATTTATGAAGCACCTACTATGTGCCAGGCACCATGCTAATTGCTTCATATATATTATTACATTTGATCCTCATAACAACCTTATGAGGTAGGTGCAATTATCATTCTCATTTTATATTGAGGAGACTGAGGCAAACAGAGGTTAAGTGACTTGCCCTGGGTCACATAGCTAAGAAGTATCTGAGGCAGAATTTGATCTCTGGTTTTCCTAAGTCCAGTCCTCTGCACACTTTGGCACCTCATGAGGGCCACGTTCTACAGTGAAAATATTATGTCAATTGTCTGGAGTCTGTTGACTATTTCAACAAACTTTTTCTGCCCCAAGTGTCAGTTAAAAAGAGAGGAGAGCAGAGAGAAATTTGGTCTTTGAATCAAAAAGAGTTGGATTAAAGTCCTGTTTTTTACATATTTTTTTAAAAAACATTTGGAACTCAA